CCCCCCCCCAGCTTCCTCCTCCAGTCTCTCTCACTCTCGCTCGCCATTCCTCCCTATCTCTCTCTGGGGGCTCAGATCCCGAACCGGCCATCGGCCATGCGGTCTCCCACAAGTGCTGCCGGAAAACTCGTGAAAGATAGGGCATTGAGTGGGAACATCGAAACTAGTGTGTAAAACGAGTAAGGTACTCCGGGCTTTTTTGTGCCATTTGTGCGTAAAGGGGACGGGGAAGGGGACCCGACCGGCATCCGCATCAACGGAGGCTGCGACGCGCCGTGCTCGCTAAGTCCCAATTGGCAGAGCGCATCCGCTGAGAGAGGGGCAGGGGAAAGGGGGAAAAAAGAGAGAGAGGAACAGGCTGTGAGGGAGGGGATCAGGGAATTGGAGGGGGTGGAGGAGCACTCTGTCCGGAGTCTCTCAGGTCAAAAGCACTAGATTTTCTTTACGTTGCCGTCGTATACTGCTTTAGTTCAGTTTAGTGCATTGATGGGGGAGGTGTTTCAGGGTTTTCTATGCCACCCTTTATTCCATTAGAAAGCCATTGCGGGCGAGAGAGATAGAAATACAGCCCAGACTCTATGGTCGTTTCATGCAGTAGCACCAACAGCATATTGTCCAACAGTTATGAAGGATCCAAAAAAAAGAATTAAGAATGGGTATGTTTTCGAATAAATCAGCATGAACGATTTGAACATCAAAATATTCCATCATCCCCATGTTCAAAGGACTTCTGAGCTAAAAATAAATTTGATTAGAGAAAAACACTACAAGGTCAGTTTCAGGCCATGATGACCCTGGGTAGTGCATTACTAAGCAGAGAAAGCTGAAGAATGATTTTTTTTTCATGGGGTTTTTGAGTAATCCGTCTCTCTTTTTTAAAAGGGAATGTAGAACATTTTATATTTTTCTTACTTATAATAATTCAACAAAAAATAAACACATACACTCAAATTCAGATACAACAATTATTTCTCTTTTGTAACAGTAAAAATAAAAACAAATGATTGAAAGCAATTTTGGTATTACAAAATTACTTACAGAGGATACAGGTGGAAAATACAGTAATATTAGATGACAAGTGACAAACAATTTGTTTCCTTATCACATCTACTGATGATCAAGTGGTTCTGATAATGATTGAATAAAAGAACTTCCATTGATCAATTTGGTGGTCCCGATTAAAAACTCAACATTTGCTGTAAACAAAGAAAACAGAAGCGGAGATCAGAATTAAATAAAAACTGGTAACAACATTGAAGTCAAAATACCAGTTAAGATAACAAAATTGGCTTACTATCAGAAACTTCTTGCTGTGAAAGAAATCGTAGTGCGGAAATTTCTGCAAATGTGCAACCGCCAACGAAGAACACAAGTACAACTTTGGGACTATCACTTGGTGGAACAGGTAGTGCAGACCCTACAATCATTTTAAAAATCCACATTATGTTAGTATGATTTTGAATTATTTTTTAAGGTAAGGATTCAGAAATAATTAAAAGACACAGACCAGAGGGGGATGTCTGTAATTCATCAAATGCTGGGCTTGGCAAGAGACCTATGACATCCTGAAGAGCTCTTGACCCATTTGGTCTTACAAGGTGTTGAACAAGGCGAATGCTAAGTGGAGCATACACACTGTGAACATAACTTATATCAGTAGGTGATGCTTCATCATTGTCCTCAACGGTTAGTTTAAGGGCTTTCCTAAGAACTGTGTACGGCCGTTGATTTTGCTGAAAGTGGTTTTGCAGTTTAGCAAGGAATGAATAGTTTATTTATGAAATAATAAAACACATAAAAGAGAAACTGACCTGCAAGCGCAAGAGGCCCACTTGTTCCAAGTTGCAGAGAGTTAGGGCATGATGAAAGCCATAAGTTTGAAGAATTTCTCTCTTATAATATTCCAAAACTTTGGAACGGAGGCCACTGTTTGTAAGAGCCTGCATGCAAACTAATCTCAGAACCTTGAAAAGAATTTCATGTGTTAGTAAGTTTTTATAGATAGATATTAAATGCAAGTCAGACAAAGAAACAAAAATAAAAAAATTGTACTTTAATAAGAGGTTCTTTGCGGTCTATGCAATCTTCTATAAATGGATGAGCCTTGTCAGTATCAATTCCATTCATCAGTTCCTGTTCAGTTTGCAGTGCTTCTAAAAACTGATGGGTATCTGTAACTTTCTTCACCAACTCTGCAATAGTTGTATCTAAAACAAAAACATTTCAGTGACAAAAAGATGAAAAATATTTTAAATTCAAATGCAAAACTGACTGATTTGGATATATAAAAATTTAAATTAACTAACGATAAGCTAATGACTGTTTGTTTGCCATCATAGAGGGTAATCTTGAAACGAATAGTTTCATTTCCTGTACAGTCTTGTCTCCATGTCTCTCTTCGAATTGGTTAGATATTTGTCTGGCTTTTCTGCTCAATGCAGGACCGACAGCACTAAAATTCTTGTCTCTGAAGAACAGAAGAAATACACTCCATCAGTAAATCATAAATGGATAAAAATATTAAGAGAGAGAAATATGTCAGGAATTGAAAGGTACCTTATTTCGGCAAATAACTCCTCTCCAGAATTTAGAATAATGTCTTTTGTATCTGCTGTGTATGGGGTATTATCATTTGATGAACTAAAATGCTCTGCTGGTAGTTTTACTGTGTCTGCAAAGATATTGAGTTCCTTAGTAGTGCTAACCATCAAAATTAGTATTTTACTTCATTTTTACAGCTAGACGGATGAGAGGCAACTTACTGTTTTGAATACCAAATATCTCATCAATGAGCCCTTCATACGTCAACTGAGTAGCCAGGGGCGTGAGTAGATCCACAGACCTATCTAAAATAATGACTTGATCTATTTGTGATGGGGCAATGCTGGAACTAATAGATGGCCATGGACAGTCATAAAGATGTAAGATTACAAGATAATTAAATATCATTCCATAACGTATAACAATTTTACCTGGAAGGATTCTGGCAGCTTGACTGCTCCAATGAGAGACGTTTCAAGAAATCAAACACCTTTTGAGCTGCAGGTCCAATTCCCGTAACTCGAGGTATAATACCATACAAGGACTGAAGTGAGAGTAGTCCTTGTGCAGCCTGATGGAGTGTTGTCGGATCACTTTCCAAATGAAACTCCTGATCATGAGGTAAAAGACAAACAATGAAACATCAAAACAAATTCAAGTAATATTGAAAACTTGGATGATGTTTAACTGATATTGGAAATCACTTTTACCTTGAAAGTGGTTGGAATTTCCATTGAAACCAAGTCATTGTCAAATGGAAATAGATGCCAAGGCAGTTCTTCAAGATTTCCTTCAAAATTACCTAGAACGCCTCGATCCTAAAAACCATTGTTTGATTGTGAGCCACAACAAACAAAACATATTATCATATCATATTGACCACAAAACTAAAATTTGGACTTCACAAATGCATACCTCTAGCCTCTTTTTACATAAGAAGGTAACTCTTGGGACAAAAAATATATGGAAGTCCTTGCGAGAACGCTTCACTTCGCTACAGGAAGGCAAATGAATTTTAAAATATGACATATAAGATTCATATCTTTAAAAAAATATTTTATTTATGTGTCGTACTTACTTGTGAACATTGTCCGCAACATGATCAATAAAGCGAAGTTGGGGACGGATGATAAATACTATGTTTTCCGAATTGCTGTTTGGTAATTGTCCGGGATGTAAGTGGAAAATAGTTTTAATGTTGTGTTCTTTAAGCATAGGCTTGTTTGCAACCAGCCCCATGACTGAACCAAGAGCTCCATCGGTGACAATGTCCTACAATTGAATAATTAACATGTGCATTGATTGTACACTAAATCAGAATATTAAAGAAAGAAACAGGTTACAAATGTCACTGTCTCACACTAATCATAAATTATTAATATAGGGTCGATTTGAAGCAAATACTTACCTTGGTACCATCGATCTTATCGAGCAGGGCAAAAAGATGTTTTCTAGCATGATCTTGTATTCGAGAAATATTAACTTTTCCTCCGGATAAATGGGTGGATGACATTTCAGCGAATACACACCGACTCCCCCTTTCCTCTCCTCTCCCCTCCCCTCGCCAACCCATGGGCGAACATATTGCAATTGAAGTTTTGAAACGTACCGCTATATTTTTCATGCTCAATTCTAATATCAATTGTAAATCACGCAACGTCTTGTCACTTGTCATTTTTCTGCTTGGCCAATCCAAACATATGTCGTGGCCCAAACTTAAGCCCTAAATTTGCTTCTAGATCGTAAAACAAAGATGTTAAGCATTTGTCGTAAACATTCAACATCTTCCTAAAAGAGTTGAGAAGAATTTTGTATCCCTTGACATTTGTCATTGATGTAGTGTTACTGACAATAAGCTACAAAGACAGAAACCACAAACCAGACAAGACGGTCGGTATAGTCTCCATAACCTGTATTCGTAGTTGAAACAGTTCCTTTCTTTTTATTTATAGGGGGGAGAGTTAAAATACATTAACTAATTCACTAATAATTATTTAAGACGAGGAAGCTCACTAATACCAGTCTGAAATGAGAACTGAATTTTGTTCAGTTGTACAGATTTTCAAATCTATGGTTAAAAAACGATCGTGTAATTATTAGATTGTTTTCTATATCTCCTCCAGCAATGAGCCGTTCCACAAGAAGACGTCAAGAAACATCTAGGACTAGTACAGCAGCTAATGGGGATGTTGAAGAGCAACACAACATTATGCCTTCAGGACCAAATGCTGAAATCCCCAGTGACATACGAGGCGACCGTTGCAATATTGCAATCCTTTTTTTCTTGTACCTTTTGCAAGGCATTCCAATGGGCTTAGCTGCTGCAATTCCTATGCTAATGCAATCTCATGGTGTTAGCTACAAACAGCAGGTTTGGAATGATTTTAATTTGCAAACTCTTTCTGCAGTTATGTACAACATTGGCTAAATACTTTCCTATTTTTTTACAGGCTGAGTTCAGTTTAGTGAATTGGCCTTTCAGCTTAAAACTTTTGTGGGCCCCTATTGTTGATTCCATCTACTCAAACCGTTTTGGCAGAAGAAAGTCATGGCTTATTCCTGCCCAATTTCTTATTGGCTTCTTTATGATTTTCCTAGGGGCAAATGTTGACTCATGGCTTGGAGATGTAGGTGTTTTCACTGTTTGCTTTTAATTTTTGTTGTAATCTTGTCTTGGATAAATCATTCTTTTCTCTTATTAAACTTCTAATTATTTTATTGTTACAATTTTTCTAGGGTGCAGAAGAAAAGGCAGAGCCATGTGTTGGTTTCCTTACTTTAATGTTTTTCATCCTTAACTTCTTGGCTGCTACCCAGGATATTGCTGTGGATGGCTGGGCCCTTACAATGCTTAAGAGGTAAGTTTGTGGATAGGTAAAATTTTCTAAGCAGTCTTTTATTGCTATGAAGTAAAAATTTAAAATGAAGTACAAATTCTGTATACCTACCTACTAAGGTTAATCATTGTTTTCCTTTTCTTGCTGCTGTCTCAGACGGAATGTTGCCTATGCTTCAACATGTAACAGTGTTGGACAATCAGCTGGCTATTTCTTTGGCTATGTTGTTTTCATGGCTCTTCACTCACCAGATGTCTCTAACAAGTACTTGCGTTCTGTTCCTCAACCAAATGGTCTTGTCACTATATCAAGTAAGTGCTAAAATTTCTACACTAAAATAGGCTACAACATTTTTGTTAACTTAAATTTTTAAAAGTGGGATGAGCATTTTAGTTATTTTCTTTTAGTATCTCTGAAATTTGCAGTGCATTTTGTTTTTGCCATAGAACTGGATTATTGTGTTGGCTGACTGCTTGCTTGCATACTTCAAACCAGATGATTCCAAAAAATTTCTTTAATTTTGAATTTGTTTTCCTCATATTTTAAGGTTTTTTAAACATGTGGGGATGGGTATTCCTCACAGCTACTGTGCTAGTAGCCATTTTGAAGAGAGAACAAGTTGTTCATAACCCTGAGCATGAACCAGAGCCAAGTCTTGGTTTCTATCGTGCCTATGGTTTACTTTGGGATATCAGCAAACTTCCCTCCATCAGAGTACTAGCATTCATCCTTTTGACAGCTAAGGTGAGTAACAAATTATGCTAATAAACACTAATCAGTCGTTTTCCTAGAATTAAATTTTATTAAGAGTTTCATATTTAAATACCAACATTTCTTATTTCAGATTGGATTCAGTGCTTGTGATGCTGTGACTGGTTTAAAACTGGTAGATGCTGGCGTCCCTAAGGAACATTTAGCATTTTTAGCTGTCTTACTGGTTCCTTTACAGATCATGCTTCCTATTGCTATTTGTAAATACACCACAGGATCACGCCCATTAGATGTTTATATAGCTGCAGTACCTTATAGGTAAGTGTGTTTGAAGTATGTTTGTTTTACAATGAAAATAGCAAGCAAGCTTGAAGAGCCTTTTTTTCTTTTATAATTCTTGTTTTGTTGCAGGCTCTTTTTTAATGTGGTGGCAGGAGCAATTGTGTATTTCACACCAAGCTTTATTAATGATAATGGAGATGTACCTCTCTATTACTACATAGGTTTGCTCCTGTTTTATACATGCCATCAAGTAAGTATTGCTACATTTTTTAAAAGTCATCTGAGTGATGAGTTTTGTCATTTTTCTGAAATTGTTTTTGTTCTTCCAGATTACCCTCTATATGATGTTTGTTGCTATCATGTCATTCTTTGTAAGAATTAGTGATCCCGCTGTTGGTGGGACTTACATGACTCTCTTAAATACTTTGGCAAACATGGGAACCACATGGCCCTCTACGTTGTCACTCTACATTGTTGATTCATTAACATTCCGAGGCTGTTCCTCTTCTTTGTTATCAAATAATGGTTGTTCTTTGCCGAATGAAGTTAAGGTAAACTGAAATAGTGATTCTTTTTTCTTTTATGTATCTTATTTTCTAAAGCTTTTAATTTTACTCTCCTATTATTTTACTTTTTCTAGGCTTGTGAAGCTGCTGGTGGACATTGTACAGTTCAATTGGATGGTTACTATGTGGAAATGGCATTGTGTACAGTGCTTGGCCTTATGTGGCTTTGGTGGGCCAGGCCTAGAATTCAAGGTCTTCAAGCTAAAGAAGTCAGAGAGTGGAAGGTCCAAAGGCAAAGAATTCGGTAGCAAATCGTGTGAAGTAGCTTCCCAACACCATAATGATATGAGACATTCACCCTATATTATATTTCTATTCTGACCATCATATATTTATTCGCTGTGATAACTGTGCAGTTGAAATCCTTCCGTTTTATGCAATTGTTACTGAGACACAAAAATCAGGATCATATTAGGTATAATTTATTTTATAGGGTGATTTTGAGGAAAGTGAAACAGTTATTGTTGATGGATTTAGTCTTGTCTTGACGAATCTAAAACTAAAAGGTAACTTACTTTTCCTGCTGTTGAGGTACCAACTATATGGCGTAAGCATTGATTCCACAAAACTAAATCCATCTCCAGTGGGTGTCAACCCATTTTTGGGGTGTTTTGTTTGATGTTACATGTTAGAGTCTAAATGGTAAATATTGATCTCTGATCTTTTTCCATAATGCTGTCTCAGGTACACCTGAGAGGTCGGTTTTAATTTTTATCTCAATTAAAGACAAGCAGAGTTAAAACTGAAGATATCCATGTTAAAACCTCTTTAGAAAATATTTATTTGTTTTGTTTAATGCCTGAGTCAGCACTGATGAGTTAAATCATTAGGCGGAGGTTGTGATTTTCAATTTTTTTGTGGACCTCAGGGTTTTCTTTTCTTTTTTTAAGAAAAACAGTGAGAGTATATCTGTTAATTAGGTATTATCAGTAAAATAAACAATTCAGTTGTTTGCTACTTAACAAGAAAAAGTGGTATGACATATGTGAACTGAATTTCTTCGGCGTGATTTTTCATTCACATCATTTCTCTGAAGAGTATGAGTGTCCTGCTGCTGTTGTATTTTATTGACGTGAGTATTAATCACCTTTCATTATATTTCAAACAAATACTGTGCACTGTGCAGTATTGGTATTGTCTTCAATATATTCTGTAACTTCGTTTTTACCGTAAGTGCAAAGAGCATTGACCAATAGATTACTGTAGTTGGACATGTAAGACTATAATGCTTTGCACTGAGTTACTAAATTGCTTTTGTTAATATGATAACAGTTGCATTCTGTGATACTTGCTTGTGTGGTGTGAGATTTGTTTTGTCAGTAGTGTGCTGTGCGAAGATAAATCTATATTTCTTTATTTTAAAATATCTTTTTATTATCATCATGTTCTTATTTTAAAAATTTATGAACTCTTGTCTCCACAGTCAGAGTTATAGATACCAACACAGTCTTTGTTACAGTTCATATTAATATTTGATCAATTTGTAATTTTTACAGTAGTTTCCTAGGCTACGTAAGTACATAGTACACAGCCGACATCGAAAAAGAAGATTACAGTATGTGAAAGAGTAAGGAATGCGAGAAGCCACTACTACAGAAATCAAGATGTTTGCATCTTTCTTGGGTGTAAATATTGAAAAGACAATAAATCAGTAGTAGAATAACAGGTTCAGAGGAGAAAAAAAGTGAGGTTTAAGTTATTTAGTGAAGAAAAGTAAAGCAAAGACCAAGGAAATCATTGTTGCAGGCAAGAGCCCCCAAGAGCATGAGGAAGCCATGGCCCTCAGGGATTGTAACTCAGGTAAAGAAAGATAAGATTGAGACTGAGATAGGTGTAAAGGAAGAGAAAAGGCAAGCCACACATGAGACTAAAAAGTGGATGAAAGAAAATGTAAATGGAAGAAAACATGACTAGAGATGAAAAGGAATAAAACGAAATATAATCATGATAAAAGCTAAGAAAAGGGCAGAAAAATGTAATGGGAAACTGAAAAATTTCACCAATAGAATAGAAGAAGAAAGAAGTGGGAAAAGGAGAAAACAGAATGAGACATAAATGATAAAGGTAAAGATAGAGAGAAAGGGAAGGAAGAAAATTGAGATGAGATAAAGAATGAATGGAAAGAAGAATATGAAGTATGTAGGTAAAGAAAGTTGTAGAATACAGTGAAAAGAAGGAAGGGAAATCATAGTGAAAGAAGTAGAAAGAAAATAAAATGTGAAATGAATTGACAGGAGATATGGTGAACAAGAAAGCATGGTAGATGGAGTGAGATGACTTAAAATACAATGATACAAACGACAATTCAGAAAATGAAAAGGTGAATGAAAGTCAGACACGAAGTAATCTCGTTTTGAAGAAGGAAATGAACTATCTCTTCAAAGGATAGTCAGACAAACTAGAAAGGATATTTTAGACCAAAGAAAAAGTAGATAAAGAGGCTGGGGCTGTGTACCTGTACTTCTGAGATTTAGGTAAGATGATAATACATGATGAGATAGTCTTCAACGCATTACACTGAAACCCCTAGCAAAAGAAAAGAAGAGTTCAATATGATATTATAAAAGAAATAAAGGAAAAGTACAAATTGCAGACTGAAACAGTTCAAATCACATTATTTGAAGAGTTTTTGTGGACTAGACAGCACAGATATGTAGCCTTGCACATGATTAAAGTATCTCATGTACATGTATAATTTTCAATAGAGACGCTCTAGCAGAAATAGAAACAAAGAAATGGTTGTTGGTCAGAGAAAAACAAAATAATGAGGTCCTGTTTTACATACTAGTGAAGAGGTTGACAACAGTAGAATATTTCAATTGTTTTAGTTCAGAGCACAAAATAGCAGAGACAGTCTTCGAAGAATTACTTAGCAGTAAAATTATCACAGGAAGCGCAGCTCAGCTTGAGTAATAAGATGATCAAGAAGTGCTAGGTATTTGTACAAGAGGAAAGATATACAATCACAGATAGAGGCGGCTTTAGTTTCGGCGTTGTCAGTATCCGATAGAGCCATGTTAAGCGAGTCACATTTGGAATCACAACAGAAAATTGAAAAGACACGCCAAAGCAAGTGGTCCTTCAAGAGATTTTCTCAACAATAAAAACTTTTTCAGTTTTCCTCGATTCCTGCCTCTGGACATGACATTCCGCAAACTATGGAATAAGGGTGGAAGTACCAGTAAGATGAAAAGTGAGTGAAAAAATTGAATCATAGAGAAAATTAAAAGGACAGAGAAAATAGACAGATGTTGAAAAAGCAGAGGGAGGGGGGGTAAGTGTCTAGAAGACCGAAAAATTCACAAAGGCAGTAAACAGCTAAGAGAGAAGAAAAGTTCATAGTAACAGAAATAGGAGGAAGTGGAATAAAAGAAGAAGAAAAGAGAAAATGAAATATGCTGAAGATGCATAAAATTCTAATTCATATAGCATACACAAAGGAAGGTTTTCAAGCAAAAAATGGAGAAGATTAGGAAAAAGATAGAGACGATCTACAAAATTCAAAGGAAATAGGAAGAGAAAGTTCAGTATTGGAAATATAGGAAGAACGAAAAAGAGTGGAAAAGTGAAAAGACAAAAGAACAGGAAAACAAAATTATAGTTCATAGCATAGAAATGAGAAGGGGATGAAATGCAGGGAGGAATGGGTGATCGAGAATAATTGAAAAATGAAACAAATAAAAAAATAAGAAAAGGTGGAATATAGAGGAAACTAAGACAAAAGTCTAAGAGAAGCCCCTATTCTTCAGAGGAAATAACCAGAGAAGAAAAACTTGACAAGAAATAAAGAAGATTAGAAAAAAGAAGAAAGTAAAGGAATTAAAAGAAAAAGGTAAAAGCACAGTGACAGAAAAGAATGACAGTGTGGATAAAATGAAAGAGAAGGAAAACGATATAAAGGCAAACTACAACAAATCAAAGATCAGTCTAAGTAGAGAAAAGTTTGAAAGGGGGGAGAAATAGACAGAAAATTATAGAGGAATAAAATAGGAGTAAAGATGATACAAAAAAGGAGTTGAAACAAAGAAGAGAAGAAAAGAAAAGAAAATGGGAAATAAGCACAGGAAAAAAAGTAAAGAAGAGAAAGTAGTAAGAGAAGTCAGAAGAAAAGAGACAAGGAAAAAATAGATGAAGTAAGTGTTGAAAGAAACAAAAGCGACAGAAAAAAAGTTTTAAGTAATAGAGAAAAGAAGGACAAAATCAAAAGATATAAGAAAAGAGGAAGAGGAAAAGAGGAAGAGGAAAAGTGATCCGAATGCGAGGGTTGCGGCTGTCCAGAGGCAAATTCGATCCCTCAAATATTTAGACTAATTTACATTTACAACAAGAAATTTATAAGACATCTCGGAGGCAAGTTCGTCGATTGGAAGTCCACAGCGCGGGATGCTACTGCTTCTTGGCGACTCGGAACCCGGAGAAGCTGAGAGTCGGGGCGGTGGTGCTGTCGGGCGCCTGACTGCCGCCCTCCAGGAATACGGCCACCGTCTCGCCGAGCTCCATGTCGAGCAGCACGACGTGCTGCGGCCCGGACACCACCGGCGTCCACGTCGAGGCCCCCGCCGCCTTCTTCTTGAGCACGAGCCTGTAGAGAGCGGGCCAGAGCGTTACAATCGCATTCCAGACGCACCCGCGATAAGCTGTCTGGTCTTCTGAGACCCGAGCTTGCAGGCCTTTCCTCATCACGATGGTGATCGCCACCGGGACCCCGCGGAGCAGCTCCCGGTCGGCGTGTTACTCACTTGGCCGCGGCGTCACCGGCGAACGCGAACTGGTAGGTGCCGGGGCAGTAGCAGACGAACTCGCCGTCCTCGGGCTTCCAGCCGACGCCCTTGTCCAGCAGCGTGGTGCGCAGCGCCAGCGGCCGGTCGGCCTGCGCCTTGGCCTGGCCGCGCTGCCCGGCGCCGGAGAAGGCCACCGCCCCGGAGCACTGGCTGGCCGTGGCCAGCTTCTTGGCGCCCAGCGTGGTGGTGGCCGTGCCGTCGGTGGGCGCGGTGGACTTGCGGGCCGCGTCCGGCACGGCGCCGAGGGTCAGGCCGGCGCACAGCGCGCTGCGGGAGGAGAGAGGAGAGGCAGGTGTCAGTAGAGATCAGAGCAGCACGGCACGGAGCTGGGGCGCGCGAGGTGCACGCCTCGGCCGACAACGGACTTGACTTTCACGCGACGGAAAACATGATCGCGGCGCGAGTGTTGGCTTTACCCTTAATGAGAGCGCCTTCAGAGCGGCGGCCGGCCGGGCCGGGGGCGTACACGGGCGAGGGCGTGCGGGCCACGGCCTCATTGCCGACCAGCCCGGCCGGCCCGGCCGCCGTGGAACAATGGGGCCAGGGCGGGCGAGCGCTGCGGGGGCGCGGCCGACCGGGCGGCACGGCCCGCCGCGCCGCGACAGTCGGAGGGGAGGTCGGAGGTCAGGCGCGGTGCAGTGTGCGCCGCGGGGCGGCCAGTGAGCGGCCCCGACTCAATCTGTCTGTCCCCACCCCCCCCCGTGCCTACAGTCACACACGTACTGGACTCTGCCTCGCTGTCAGCGCGGCGCCCCCCGCCCCGGAAGCCCTGGCCGCGAGTGTGGTAATCAGAGAGCATTATCGAGAGCACGCTCCGCAGCGCTGGCCGCGCTTGGCTCCAGTCCCCGGGGCTGGGCTGGGCTGCACGCGCCGGGCCCGCCGCGCCGCCGCGCCTTTCTCCAGAGCAGCATGGACTGGAGCTGGACTTGGGAGCTGGACCAACCATGCTCTGCTTCCCGCTCCGCGTCGCTCACCGCTGTACTCGCCAATAGTCACATGATGCAATGGCAGCGCACCATTTTAATGCAGTGCGCTGCCGCAAGTCTGTTTGCTCCGCCAATCCCTGTTAGTCACGGCGTACTTCGGTAGACTGGGCTGCCGCCCCGCCCCGCCCTGCACCAGCTCCGCGGGCGCCTAGAGAGGGGCGTGGCTTGCGACGGCCCGTTTGGCGCTCTACGGCGAGTAATGCGAGTTTTATGCCCGTTCCAAAGTCAAAGCCCTCCGCGAGTAAAAGGGAGCGGGCTGGTTAGAGACGCGGCTCGGCTCGGCCTCCACCGCGTTGCGTCGCACCGAGAGGCTTTCGTAAGGAGCGGCGCGGGGAGCTCGACATTTAGCTCCTTTGGAACACCCCTCCCCGCCGTCCCGCCCCGCCCCGCCTTGCCCCCCGTGGTGTTCCCGGGCGGATATATCTCGCACACGATGTGCTTCTCTGCGGCAATGCGTCTCGCCTCGTCCTGCCGAGGTCGCAACGCGGTGGTGCGGCGCGCGCAGCAGGCCGCCGAGTGCGCCGTGCTGGGCGGCTAATCTCCGGCACGGCCAGCACGCGGCCCTGGCCCGGCGGGGGGCGGGGTGACCGTCAGCTGTCACGGGCCGGGCAGGGCGCGTGCCTC